TAGGGGACAGTCCTTAGAAAGCGATGAGCGAGCGCATGATTAGATGCATTTATGCCAAGCTCTGGGTGCTGTCTGCATAGTATGCCCTTAGTTGGCCAGCTGCATGATTGGCAGGCAGCCTGACATACATTCATGCCAGGCTGGCCTTCTAATTCTTTGGGCAGACATGTCCTCTTTTTGGTCATGTTCGCCCCTTTTGGCAGGTTACGTGATTTGTGTCAGTGGCACACCCTTTTACTGTGCCCATTGACTTCCTGCTTGACTGGACACTGCTGTTAGGGTTTATGGATTTACTTGAAAGTGTTACGGCTCCCGGCCCGCCGCATGGCGCATCTGTGCCCGACCGACACAACCACGCAGATAAAGCGAGCTTACCTGCTCGTCGGCGAGCCGGGGACCACTCCTCCACATTTTATGGGCAGTGTGCCCAAACCAAAGATGGCGTCGACCATGCAGCTCCGCCCCTCAAAGTTATACAGATGTGCGCATGACGTCACGACGTCAACGCACGTTCTGTGGTCAGAGGTCACCCTCTAACCAATCAGAGCCCAGAGAGGGATATTTAAATCCCTGATTCACCCCAGTACCTTGCCCTGTCATGGATTCCTGTTCCTGGTTCCCTAGAGTGCGTTTATCCTTGTGATTCTGAGATTCTGGTATTTTGACCTTGGCTATTTCTTGTTATTCCGATTTCTGGTTCCCCTGACTTGGCTTGTTTAAACGGTATTGTGTATTTCTGGCTTCCTTCACCTCGGCTTTCCCTTTGATCATTCTCTGTCTCTAACGTATTAGTCCGGCCATTCTAAGGACCGGTTTACGTTCTGTCCTTTTATTTCATTTCATTTTCTATGTATATGCTTACATAGTTTCTGCGTGTTGGACCACACTAGCAGTCGTGACATTAAGATAAACACATAAATTAGAGAGAGATTAGCATAGGATATGTGTTTTCTTATAGCTGCTGTTTTCTTTCTCTCCAACACCATTTCCATCAGATACATGAAGCTTGGGGGTGTTTTAGTGTTTTGGGGCAATAAGATTCCGTAATTAGGCCCATCATAATTGTCAGCACCAGACCCACTGGGCTGTTAATCTGGCCCTGACGTGAATACAGGTTCATTGATTACCATGTGAAAGTCATATAGGATGTTTTTATACCATTTTTATCTCTAAAAGGAAGTGTTATGCTTATTAAGTAACTATATATTTGTTTTACGCACAAGATTCCAGATCAGTCATGTGTATGTGAGGGGAAGTATTAGGCCTGGCAGAGTCCAAACCATTTTGTCCTCACAGTAGTATATCCTTAGGATCAATATTCCTTCATCAAGACATATTTCTTTCTTTGTTTAGACACGGGCAAGAACAAGCAACACTTGGAAGTCAGAAATAAACATCATGAGCATAACTCTCCATTTCCCGTGTACACTTTTTTCTCAGGTGTAAATTACAGTGTAAATTACAGGAAATTGTCTTTGCTATTTGCAGTCGTAACTTTTTATCCCCAAATGTTCTTTGTGATTTAATAAGTGTGGATAAGAGCCCTGAACAGGGTCATTGCTTGACCCTTCCTAAAGGTGGACTTGATAAATGTAAACATTAAATAAGTTCTTATTATTCTAAACACCCTTTTGCATTCCAGGTGTTGTGGACTACATCTCCCTAATGCTCTTACAGCCATAATGCTGGCAAACCATCAGAGGACATGTAGTCCACATCTGTAGTGCGGAAAGGTGCCTACCCCTGTTCTGAACATTTTTAGATCTAGTGAATAGCTTCTATTTTTTGCTATTCTTCATAGGCCTCCTCAGATCATTTGATAGCCTCACTACCACGACCTCCTTTAGGGGATTAGACAATCTTTACACTATTTACCTAGATTACTGTGACCTATAACTGTTTTAAGTAGTTCCGCAGTGCTCATAATGACCATTATAGGTTATACAGAGTGCTTTGAAATGTCTTGGCATGCTATAAAATAAAATAATTAATTAAAGTGTCCAGGGTAAGACTACCTTGTATACTCTTTGTTCAGACTAAATAATACACATTCTTTATTAATAGGATGTACACAAAGAAGCAGATCGTGTGTCTCCTCTTTTCGTAAACTAAATTGTATCTGAATTTCCATACTGTATATGTTCGATGAGGCACGGTGTGAAACCTGAGTGTGATGTGTTAGAGGTGCCAGTACACTCAGGGAATGTTTGCACGCCAGTTTCACAAAGGTTCTTGCACTTTGATGGTAATTCAATAGGTTTTCATTATCCAAAGATGATTGCTTGAACAGCGTTCTGATTAATGTCAGATGGAATCCTGTCCTCCTCCGGGAAACATTAAAGGGGTAACATACCCTTTATTATCAGCAGAATGGAATGGCTGATGAAGCCATAGTGGTTTCAAGTAGCGGATAATTCTGTACCGTGGAGTGCCACTCTGTCTACTAAAAGAATCAGAATGCCTTTTAAAGGTGCAGAGCTACACCGCAGAATACTGGAGGGGGAGTCACATTTCATAGCAAATTACTAAAACACCTCCAGAGAGTTAGCACATTAACTTTTTCGAATGCTGCATTTTTTTCTGTTTGGGCTTTTTCCATTTGCATGACTTTATGTAAGTGTTATGTTCAGGTTGGCCATAGGTCAACTCTAAGTGCTTAAAGAATCAGAAATGCCAAGTTTGTAATTTCGGTTTATGTCAGTTTGGATGCAATATAATGTCAAGTCTTTTAGTATGTTACCTTTTATAGATATTTATATGGGAAATATGGTGATTCTTGCTCCAGTCAATGGCTTTATGGTGTTTTATGGCAAATTATTTTACATTTCTTAAAGGGACACTATAGTCACCAGAACAACTACAGCTTAATGTAGTTGTTCTGGTGTATATAATAGCTCCCTTCAGCATTTTCATGCACCCACTGCCTTTTCAGGAAAAAATGGCAGTGTTTACATTGCCCCTAGGGACACCTCCAAGTGGCCATTCCTCAGATGGCCAAGGGTGCTTCCTGGTTCAGTGCTGCACAGTAGGCAGCAGTGCCGTTCAGAGTCTCCACGCTCTGCATGGGTACGCTGAAATTTCCTCATAGAAATGCACTGTTTCAATGCATCTCTATGAAGAGATGCTGATTGGCCAAAATGGTGTTTGGCCCCGCCCCTCGACGATTTTATCCAATCCAATGCTCTCCCCATGAGAAAGCATTGGATTGGCTAAAAACCTTGATGTCACCAAGGGGGCGGAGCCAGCACGACGGACCCCCACGGTGCTGGAAATAAGGTGAGTTATATTACTTTTTAAGGGGGCTAAGGGGCGACAAGCCACCTAAATGGTGGGTTTTGCACTATAGGGTCAGGAATACATGGTTGTGTTCCTGAACCTATAGTGCTCCTTTAAATGTAAGCCCACCTTTAGATAAAATGGTTTTGCTTTACAAATACAATTAAAGGAAGCAATTTGTTCTTGTTATTCATCCTTATTCAGAAAGGAAAACTTGGGTAAAGCTTATATGGAGTCAACCACTTACAGCTAAAGAAGAACTTTGAGATTCAGCTCAACTTGTTAGAGAGTTGACAGTGAGTTTTTAACATCAGCCAGAATTCCTTTAGAAATCAAAGGATTCTCAGGTTTCTGTTAAGTCGGCATGGTTGCATTTTTTGCTTGTAATGAATGGAATCTTCTCCATTGTCTTCATCTTTTTTTGTAGATTATCTGTGAAAAGGTTTATTAAATGATTAGACACAAAGTAAAGTGGACACCTTAGACACAGGAACATAAGATATAAATACCTATCCCTGTGTTGCGAATAAACAGGAAAATCCCAAACATAGAAAAATAATAACACATAGTGCTTTCTGTATATACAGAGAAAATAACAAAATTGAACAGTCGAATATAACTGACAAAGTATAGAGCCATGTCAGGCTCTATGTAATGCTCTCCAAGGTGCCTATGCAGGCTTAAAGATGTATATTTTTCTTCCTTCTGTGGTGGAAATACTGGAGATGGAGGCTCCAAGTGAATGTAAAAAACTTTATTATGGTCAAAAAGTAAATATGGGTAATAACAATATCGGGACAAAAAAAAGCAGTGAATAAATAACAAATATAAGTCACCGCAAAAATAAATATTTGAAAATCCCAAAAGAAGGTCAGGAGATGCGTATCGACTCCTCCTGGAGTTTTCCTCAGTGCCCTTTAAATATGCAGTGCTGTAAACTGAATAAGATGACGTATGAATGGAAAAAGGGACCATTATTCTATTTTCAATTGTTTGTGACAGTGGTTTTATGGAATATATGTGAGGGCGTTATATTTCTTAACTATAGCCCTGGATGTAATAAATGGGTGCTGAGTAAAACAGTCACACTCATTATTCCTCAAATGCATTTAAAAAAAAAAAAATTATATATTTTTTTGTTGTGTATACGTTAACAAGGTAGCTTGCAGTGCCACAGTGGCAAAGGCAGGGACAATATCATCAACATAATATAACATAGATATGGCATTGAGATTACAGCACAATTTTTATATATAGTAAGAATTAGTAAAATGCTTAGACAGAAGAAAACTTGGCATAGGATATGTATTAAAATCTATGTGTCAGGAAAGGTGGATGAAAGTTAGAAAAGCAAGCAGTGTCTAAATCTGACTCATACTGCTAGGCAATGCCCTATTTTCTTTTGAGCGGTATTATAAGAAAGTAAGCTAGACACAGCATATGATCATAGATGAGGTCCGCTGAGTGCAAATATCTATTGACTCGCTACCCTGACCTGACATGCTAGTAAAAATAATGAAGTTAACTAAAATGCTAAGACTTAGTGTTTCAACAAGAAAATAATATTTAGTTGCCCATCAGATATACGGTAAGTAGCCTATCGGCATCCGCCAGTACAATGTTGGGGCATAACTCTGGTGTGGGTACCGAAGTCCAGATCAGCCAATCCCTTTGAGTTGCAGGATTTGGGTACCGTCCAGTAGGTTCACAAACTCTTTTGCTCTTCAGCGCCGAGATAGGTGTTCTCTCCATCTCCAGGCCTGGGTGAGGGCCAGCGTCTTGGATCCAACTGGGGTAGCTGGAGGTGCTTGATGGTAAGTGCCTGCTCTTGCTGGAGGTTTTCGTCCAGAATGCTCGAAGGTTGTCTTGTGGGAGACTCTCAGCATTTGATGACGGTTTTTCGCTGGAGTGTGCGTAGGTGAGTCTTTACCCACAGTTGGTTCCCCCTTCTTCGGCACTACGTCGCTCCTTTCCACTGTTATGGGCTTCTGTTGTGGCTGCTGTATTCGGGCCTGCAGCTTGGCCCAGAAGGCATTAAAGATTTTATCTAGGCACTGCATGCCTTGCTCAATGTAGCTGTGAGAGGTTGGCTGCATGAAGCCCATGCCCCGTGTGTCAGAGAGGAAGGCTGTCGCCATTTTGGGTGGTGAGAGTTGCAGCGGTGCATCTCAATGCTGAAACCAGGTGCCAGGGTAGTGTGGTTGAATCAAAGTGTGGTCAGCGGGGACCAGGATAACCCCCACTGGCACAGAGTCTGATTGGTTTCCTACAGGGGAGGTCGGGCTCTGAAATGCCGCAAATATTAGTCGGTTCTTCGTCCCTGCAAGGCACTCGCTTAGTATCCAGCAGCTTCAATTAGTCGTCGGTAAGGTGTTTTGTTTTTTTAAATGATTTTTGTTGTATCATGTGGGGAGCTCACCAATCATGCGTTCACTCAGTATGGTGGTCAAGCCCAGCCCCCTCCTCAAATGCATTTTGACGACAGTTGTACAGTTTCTTGCTGTCTAAAAGGTATCCATCTATCTAAAGATTTATTACATTATTGTTGACAATTTCTGCATTTACTTAGCACCACTCATTAGTATGTTACAGTTACTCTGTATTTTTTGTCAGACTATCATTGCATCAAATCACTTGAGTTGGTGAGAGGTTCTAGAATATTTTTCCCTCCTTTGTGTCCTTGTTCTCATGTGACCTGAATTACTGCTTTTTGTCCTTGGATTAGTCCATGCATTCAGCCACTGTTACCATGCAAATAACGAATGTAGCAATTCTGTTTCTCAGAGTAGACGATCCATGTAATCCGATTCATCAGTAATCCATTCAAAATTCCCACTTTATCTCACACATATAAGTATGTAAAAAAAAATCTAAAGTCTTGATAAAGTATTAGAATTATATAAAACACGTCCTCTCTGTTTCCATGAGACTAAGATTTGCTTGCCTACTGTTTTGTGCATACTGTTTTGTACATATTAGGTGGCCGCCTAGTCCACATACAGATACTGTTTTGGTTTTAATATACAAATGACCAGTGGGCCTTAATGGCCAGGGCCAAGACCAATGGGGGCGTTCGAAGCAACTTGCTGGACAGCACTGGCCAAAAGTGGCTCTCTGTTCTGTCATGGGCCATTGTGGAGATCAAAATACTCCCTTAACATCCCAGCAAAGTCTAAAGAAAGGAAAAGGTGACAGAGCCCAGCACATCCATAGCTGCATAAGGCAGCCTCCAGGGACTGGGCTTTGGCTCTTAATGTGATAGGGCCCTCCCTGAGGTGGTATGTAGAACATAGATCTTAAAAACAAGGGAGAAGAGTCTGTGCTAGATAACAGGAATGTAAGCAGCAACCCTAAAAAGGGAATCCCTCAAGACCCTTATTAAGACTAGAAATGGAAAAAGTGGGTAAGGGCTGCGTTAAAATACAGTAGCCTATACAATAAAAACCAGACCAAATGGTCTAAATTAATAGACAACAACAAGTAAGCCTATATTATAGATAAAAATGTCTCTATTAAAACAACAGAAAAAGGTATAATAAAACAAAGTCCATTCAAGTAGTAAAATGTTCAATAGAGTAAAAATAGATAAAACGTCTCACTGGTATAACTGGATAGAGTATGTGTACAATCCTCAGGAGTTGATCCGTCCGGGCTGTAAATAATCCGTATATGTGAAGACAAGAATAAAACACGACAAACTGCCAATAGTGAAATATTGTAAATCCAAGGATAAAATAAGTAAAAAGGAGGATAGTACAGTCACATTTGAAGGAGCTTAGGCCAGCTCTAGGATGGAGGGCGTTTAGCGGTATAATCCCTGCTAAGGGATATACTGGAGAAGTGTGTCCGTCAGTCCGGCCTTGGTTACGTCGTAAAGTGTAGAGAAAAAAAAATATCCACATCCATTATGTTATGCTGTGTGTGTAGTGAACGCAGTGTCTGTGTAGTGGATGCAGAGTGTGTATTTGTGTAGTGGATGCACTGTGTGCAGTGGCTGCAGTGGTTGTGTATTGCATGCAGTGTGTGTAATGAATGCATTGTGTGTCTGTATAGTGGATGCAGCGTGTGTGGATGTTTTGTAATGGATGCAGTGTGTGGATAGCGGATGCAGAGCGTGTGTGTATATAGTAGATGCAGAGTTTGTGTATAGTGCATGCAGTGTTTGTGTGCATAGAGTATGCAGTGTGTGTGTGTGTGTGTGTGTGTGTGTATAGTGGATGCAGTGTGTGTGTATAGTGGATGCAGTCTGTGTGTGTGTATAGTGGATGCAGGAGGAAGGAGGTGACACAGTGAGGGAGGGGGTGACAGGTGGCAGAGTGACTGAGGTGGTGACAGAGTGACTGAGGGAGGGATAGGGTGACACAGGTGACAGAGTGGGTGGCAGAGTGACTGAGGGAGGAAGGGGGTGACAAATGGCTGAGTGACTGAGGGATGGGGTGACACAGTAATGGAGTGAGTGACAGGTGGTAGAGTGACTGAGGGAGGGAGGGGGTGACACAGGTAACAGTGTGGGTGACAGGTGGCAGAGTTACTGAGGGAGGGGGAGGCAGAGTGATGGAGGAAGGGGGTGACAGGTGGTAGAGTGATTGAGGGAGGGGGTGACACAGGTAACAGAGTGGGTGACAGGTGGTAGAGTGACTGAGGGAGGGGGTGGCAGAGTGATGGAGGAAGGGGGTGGCAGTGTGAAGAAGGGGGTGACAGGTGGTAGAGTGACTGAGGGAGGGAGAGGGTTACAAAGTAAGAGAAGGGGTGGAAAAGTGAGGGAAGGGATGACAGGTGGTAGAGTGACTGAGGGAGGGAGGTTGTGACACAGTAAGGGAGGGGATGACATGGTGAGGGAGGAAGTAATAGGTGGCAGAGTGACTGAGGGAGGGAGGGGGTGACAGTGAGGGAGGGAATTGTAATTTTAATAATACCTTAATTTTTTTTCCCTGGTGGTCCAGTGTCTTTGATATCTGGTGGGCTGTCTCTCCAGTCTGCCCTGAGAGGTGTGAGTTGCAGACTGTGCAGTGTCTCATGATATCCAGAAGTCAGAACATTGCTGTGGTTACCCGCGGCAACGCTCTGATTAACCAAAGATCACGAAACACTGCACAGTCTGCAACTCACACCCGCCGGAGCTGCAGGCTGTGCTAGCTGTCTGCCTCTCAGGGCAGACTGGAGGGGCCTCGCACCTGGCGGCATACCGGGCAAGCCACCGGGCCCCCTCCTGGTGTCAGGTCCTCGGTGAGGGACAGAGGACCTGACACTGTCTGCCTGCCCTATGGTGAGCAAAATGCCGCCTCTATCAAAGTGCTGCTTGGAGCCGTGACTCCACCGCGGGCTATGGACGGGCCAGCCTTGCACACACACAACACTTAAAGTCCTCCATACATAAAATTCAGCCACCACACACACAACACTCAACCAGCAAAAACACAAAAACACAGACACATAGCCTCCCCCCACTTACAATTCTCAGCCTGATCCAAACACAACACTGAGCCAACACACACAACACACACAGAAACAAAGGCCGGGATTTTAGAATGGGGCCTAAATGTGGCATAGAGCCCTGGACAATCATAATGCAGATTTGTGCACTTCCACTTTTTTTCCACTGTGAGTAACTGTCTCCTGAGCTCCAACCAGTCAGAGCATTACCATGGCAACCCTCTGACACTGTTACTCATGGTCTACTCCTGGTGATGGTGCAGACCAGATACCCAGACCCACTGGAACACCAGTGTTCTCAATGTCTGTAAAGATTGAACTTTATGGACTTGGTTTTCTTTTTCCAATCTAGTTTATTGTACTAATATATTCATCATATTACACATGACCTGATGATACAATACATTTCTGCTGGCAAGTCTCTCCCAAAAATAAAAAAGCCAGTTCTTTATGTAAATCCACAGTAATCCCTAGTGTTCTAAAATTCGTATAGGACATATTTCCATATATATACACATACAGTTGCAAGAAAAAGTATGTGAACCCCTTGGAATGATATGGATTTCTGCACAAATTGGTCATAAAATGTGATCTGATCATCATCTAAGTCAAAACAATAGACAATCACAGTCTGCTTAAACTAATAACACACAAAGAATGAAATGTTGCCATGTTTTTATTGAACACACCATGTAAACATTCACAGTCCAGGTGGAAAAAGTATGTGAACCCCTAGACTAATGACATCTCCAAGAGCTAATTGGAGTGGGATGTCAGCCAACTGGAGTCCAGTCAATGAGATGAGATTGGAGGTGTTGGTTACAGCTGCCCTGCCCTATAAAAAACACACACCAGTTCTGGGTTTGCTTTTCACAAGAAGCATTGCCTGATGTGAATGATGCCTGGCACAAAAGAGCTCTCAGAAGACCTACGATTAAGAATTGTTGAATTGCATAAAGCTGCAAAGGGTTATAAAAGTATTTCCAAAAGCCTTGCTGTTCATCAGTCCACGGTAAGACAAATTGTCTATAAATTGAGAAAGTTCAGCACTGCTGCTACTCTCCCTAAGAGTGGCCATCCTGTAAAGATGACTGCAAGAGCACAGCGCAGACTGCTTACTGAGGTGAAGACGAATCCTAGAGTGTCAGCTAAAGACTTACAAAAGTCACTGGCAAATGCTAACATCCCTGTTAGCGAATCTACAATACGTAAAATACTAAACAAGAATGGATTTCATGGGAGGATACCACAGAGGAAGCCACTGCTGTCCAAACAAAACATTGCTGCACGTTTACAGTTTGCACAAGAGCATCTGGATGTTCCACAGCAGTACTGGCAAAATATTCTGTGGACAGATGAAACCAAAGTTGAGTTGTTTGGAAGAAACACACAACACTATGTGTGGCGAAAAAAAGGCACAGCACACCAACATCAAAACCTCATCCCAACTGTGAAGTATGGTGGTGGGGGCATCATGGTTTGGGGCTGCTTTGCTGCGTCAGGGCCTGGACGGATTGCTATCATCGAAGGAAAAATGAATTCCCAAGTTTATCAAGACATTTTGCAGGAGAAATTAAGGCCATCTGTCTACCAGCTGAAGCTCAACAGAAGATGGGTGTTGCAACAGGACAATGACCCAAAGCATAGAAGTAAATCAACAACAGAATGGCTTAAACAGAAGAAAATACGCCTTCTGAAGTGGCCC